TCTGTTCATGCATGAGGGGCTCTAGTAATCCCTTTCTGTTCATGCATGAGGGGTTCTGGAAATCTAGTAATCCCTTTCTGTTCATGCATGAGGGGTTCTGGAAATCTAGTAATCCCTTTCTGTTCATTCATGAGGGGCTCTAGTAATCCCTTTCTGTTCATTCATGAGGGGCTCTAGTAATCCCTTTCTGTTCATGCATGAGGGGCTCTGGAAATCTAGTAATCCCTTCCTGTTCATTCATGAGGGGCTCTAGTAATCGCATCAGCTCCTGTCCAAAATAGGAGTTTTTAGATTTCTTCCCAACCACAGCTGGCACATGCTTTCCCTGTTACTTAACTGATCTTGTACCCAGATTCACAGATACAAATCGGGTAAAGAAATCTAACATCAAATTTCACCATTTCTGTCTCTTACTCCGACCAAACATTTTCATAATTTTTTGAAATTTTTGTTGCTTTCTAGGAGGGAGAGATTGATAAACTTCATTTTCTGGTTTCCAAGAATTTATTTTTAAACACCAATTTGATTAAAGTTTTACAAAGACGGAATATCCAGGACACCAATAGAAGGCTCTCTTCAATTCTTTGCCTCTCAAAATAAACACATGCCCACACTCACATACATGCTTGTACATGGCACACACTGAGGACTTTGCAATCTCCTTGTAACAATTTGGAAACTCATTTCAATTTGGACACACCAAGGACAGCACGCCAAATGAGGACATACTGTCCTTGCATCGACGTCCTCAGTACATGTCACATACAAGCACAAACACATCTCAACACTGAACACATTAAGAAGTAAATGGGAACATGGCACTGCACCGTTTTGTTATCAATGTTGAAAAATCGCTGCCTGCAGACGTTTTCCACGGTGGCATCGTCAATGAAGGTGACAAACCCGAAACCTATGGCATGCGAGGTAGTGGCAAAATGCAGATACGTAGGGACAGTTACAAGTATACGGCTGGTTAAAACCCTGTGTTCATTCTTAGCCAACAAATTCAAACCCTTCTGTGATTTTTTAACATGCAAGTTCGCCCATTTCCACGAACTTACATCACTTTTACAGCCGAGAACAACTTCATCTGCTCACATGCGAATACACCCATCCCACGGTTAAACGTGCTCAAATCTTGTCTCCTCGTTATGGCCGACCCCAGGTCTTTTGTCTTCATACCAAAATTGAATCATTTTGAGAATCGAATTGAGATGTAAAGGTGAAAGCTCAAGTAATATTAGGGGTAGGATAGATGAAAAAAATAAATGAACCGCACAGAATTTGATCATCTGTAAGCAATGATCAACCAGCCGATACTTCTTGACTGCACTTAGTTATGTTACTCGGGAATACCTACATAAATACAATGCATTAACAAAGGGAAAAAAAACAGTGGTTAAAGTTACAACAATAAATACACATATTATTTACAGGGACATCATGATGACGGTAAGATACATGCATTCCTGGTGTTCAATTTTAGCAAAACGTATCGTTTCTCACAAATAGTACCAGATAAACTAGAAATTATTCCATGGGAAATTTGGGCCGTTAGACACAGATGGCACGTGGACAGTAGATATTGCTCCGGCTGTACATGTCAGAGCTGCTCATTTACAAATATTCATAAACGGCAACTGTTTCGTACAGGGGTAAATGCATCTCATAGAAATTACGACCAAAGTTTCTTCAGAAAAACTCATACAAAATACACTGTTCTACACTAATATCTGGCCAGACGCGAGAGATATACTGTACATGTACCAAGCCGCTACACGCACCTGACCAAGTTACATACACGCTTACACTTACGCTAAGAATACTTTAATGTTATACATACGAATACCTAATGCTGACTGCGTAGAATTAGCAATACAGATACGTGTACTCGGACAATGGGATTGCCGAGGCATTGATGCAACATTTATTTCGGTTTGGGCTCGACAGCAAGACTGCCAATTAATTTCTGAACCGAGGCAGACTTTCAAGTTTTCCTCTCCCGTTTTGGAAATGGCAAAAAAAGACGGGTACGGGCACCAGACTGGAGTGACACTTACCTCGGCTCTTCAGCGTCTGGTTGTCGTGCATGATGACCACGTCTTTGACCTGAGGGTGCAGAAGAGACGAGACGCCTTACCAAAAGGCTGAACAGAATGACCATTGATACTGATCTCGTAGACGGTCCAAAAGTCACTTGTCCACTTTGGGTTATGGAAGTGGTGACTTCGGACAGTGTGCTGTTTACACTGGACAGGTTCTGAAACAGCCACTCGACGAAACTGCAGAGTGCTAGGTAATGAAACCCTTCAATGGAAACAGTTTTAAACCTGTCTACAAACGGTCCCAAAATGTTCAACTGGCACTCAAACCTTTAAAACTTTAACAATTTTTTTTACCTCAAACTAAAACAACACCTACCTGCCACAATAGTTAACACACAGAACCTTGGAAGTAGCTATCGTGTTTAATCAAACCTCAGGAGTTTTCATCACTGCATATTTAAGTGGGGGCTCATGTCTGCCAAGTGCACATAACCTGCCGAGTTGCAGTGTTTTTGGCTCACTGAATCTGAGTGTCTCTAAAGTGTCTGATGAGCTACTGAAGTTTCCTCTGTGCTGCTGGGATGTTCTCTGCACAACTGCTCCTTACAGTCTCCATCTTACACAAATACGTGACTCTCGTACATGCAGAACCAATGATTCACTTGCCAGTCTTATGGATGATGTTTTTATCAATGAGCCCTTACACCACTGCAAAGAGGTACTTCACAGTACAGTGCATCCCAAGGTTTAACCCAACAAGGTCTATGTCAGCACTGGTATTTACGCAATGTTTTATCACCTCCAACACTTTGAAGATGGCTACTATCGGGCAACGAAACTCAACACATTAAAGCCAACTGAAAGACCAAAAATTGGGAATGCAGACGTGAAAGGAAAGGAGAGCTGCAACAGTTGGATTGCAATTAAGTACAGATAACATACAAGGATGTAGAGTAGTGCATAACTGCAATGCTACAGAGTCGCATGGTGTGGACCTTCCACTGATCCGGGCCCTCTCTTGACAATCTAGCAGCTTCAAACTTCTTACCGACTGGAGAAGGGCCACTTTGCATCTCTGCATCATGGAGATTTGAATATGGGAATGGGGTGGGATATCTCACCGGGAAATTGTTGCCGTTGAAGAAGTTCTTGATGCCGTCAACGTTGGTGCTCTGGGAGATCCCACCGACAAAGACTTTCATGTCGAGGCTCTTGCTCTGGGGTGGCCTGTCAGTGGGAGTAGCCAGCTGGCCTCTCTGCACGCAAGGTTTGGGGTCAAGCTGTAAGGAGACAAGAATGACGAGCTGACAAAAAAAGTGTACCGCCAAGCCCATGGCTGAACCCGTGACTTTAATTTGTGAGAAAAACAGAACCGAGCTGTCCCTATTGGGAAAACTTCGTGTCCAACGTGATGACACTGGACGCTGACCTGCAGTACAGGTCAGAATTTTAGCCGACACGCAAACACAAACAGTGAACCTGACACGCTGTTCGATACGCGCTTTCCATTTTTTTACGAGCACTGCAGGTCCAGTGGACAATACCCCAGGCTCCGGACCTCCTTATCTCGCCAGGCTTGTGACTGCAGACCACAGAGGTAACCAACAACGTGCAGTGAACAACTAACTGCACATGCGGTGCCGTGAACAGTGCGTCAGTGAATCGTGTAGCCCTGCCAAAAAGGTGACCGGGACTGATGACAAAGTACCATGATACAGCTGTTTTCTTAGATTGCATTTAAAAATTGTCAAAATGCAGTGAAATTGGTCAGTAGTCCGTATGCCTTGTGTGTTTCAATACTGCACAATTATTTTCCAAATTTAAGCCCGAGATCGACTGAAGGGACAACGACACTTTTCCTTGTTCTAGATCGATTTTAAGCAATGCTGGAGTGCCACAAAAACTTCCTCACAAATAAAAGGTTACCACGGGAGAAATCTATTTCTCAGCCAGAACCATTATAACAAGCCGATTTCTTAATGTAGAGAAATTTAACTCATATGCCAGAAATCCAGTAAGTTAAAAACATCAAACTTGTGTAGATTTTGACTCGACTTTTGCAGCTGCGCAGCAAGCTACAATGCTTCCCCACACACGAGCATTATGCCATGAAATGAAGAAAGTCCCCCAGTACACGTACATGTACATGGTGCACTGTACAATACATGTACATGGTGCACTGTACAATACATGTACATGGTGCACTGTACAATACATGTACATGGTGCACTGTACAATACATGTACATGCATGCATAGCATTCTACCAGGCAATCACAAAATCACAACTGCCCCAGCGCTTTCATCCCAAACACAAATTATAAAACGGAACACTAGTATGAACATGTAAATACATCACCTACATATGCACGGTTACAGCTGTCATCATACGTCACAACGTGCATATTTATGAGTCTCATTTCTTGAGCTGTTTGTACTTTGGGGCCTAGATCGAACGCTTGAAATCATCCCTACTGCTCCCGGCCATAGATCACACTTGCCTAAACATACTGACCAGACTTGACTGCAGGATCGCCCAGGACTGAGGCTGTGGTTTTCCCGTCAAAAGAAAACATTCGCGGAATACAAACAGAAAATGTGGATTGAGGTTGTATCCAAAAGAACAGTCCAGCAAGCCCCGCTGCATCGTGTTCTGACCAAGCACAGTTGTAATTTATGCCCGACATGCGTGCACAAAAAGTCCAACATGACTGCGCACGCGTGCTTGATGTGCGCGGTTGGAACATGTAGTGTGGTACTGGATAAGGGCAGGCGTTCAGCAAGTTAAGTGCCCACGTGCACGGGGCTTACTGGATCCCTGTTTGTTTGTTTTTTACAAGGAGGCAGCTGAAAGAAAGAATTACTGTAAGCGGGGCTGGGGTGGTATCCCAGAAACAATACTGCGGGGGGGGGGAGCGTAGAAGAAACTCACTGCACGCCCATGTAGCTTGAGAGGAGTTGGGGATGAGAGGACTTTGGTGGCGCACGCCGGGTCCTTGAAGGTGACAAAGCCAAATCCTCGATTCCTGTCCGTCACTTTGTCAATCATCAAGACGCAATCTGCCACCTCACCGTACTTCTCAAAGAAGGCTTGGAATTCCTCTGGACAAGTGGGAAAACACGGTAAATCACACTTCTCAGCCCTTTTGGGAGACATTACACTGTACCAATGAGCAAATTTGGGGTTCTCAAGCTTCACAGAAAAGACTTTGCACATAGCAGTGCCTCCCACAGACATACAAACCCATGGATGAGCAGCTCCTATTCAAAACAATGGTGGGGGACCGTAGCCGAGATGGCAACCAACTAAATCCACTGAGTGACTTCCTGGTGGTATCACGCGCGGGACTATGCTTGATTTTGTCAGGACTGGTACAGCACACACTCTGCAAGTTACCCACACACTGCAGACGCCCCTATCCATACGTGTCAAGGGTAGGTATTTACGTTTCATTTGAAAATCCTTGAGAAAGATTTCCCAAACTTTACCTTTTTAGAAAAGTTTAAACACCCAAAATTGTATACAAAGTTGACACAAAGTTCTGGTGATGAATTCATGGTGTTTCTTTGATATGACCGAGCAGTAAAGTGTCCTGAAAATCAGGTTACATTTTACAGACATCGTTCAAAATGAAAAATGAATGCCAGAGTTCCATTTAAACCTTTGGGAAAATCTGTTAACGGACTTGGAACTGTTTTCATTTAACAACATTTCAACATGTAATGTTCCACCCTTAACCCCTTCACGGTGGGATTATTTTGACCGCCACTATGGGCTGTGGTATGCCCTGAATGGAGGGCTTTGTCCAGCAGCAGGCCCCATTGAACCAGCAGCTGCATGGTGAATAGACTGTACGTGTAGTCTGCAATGTTGCGGTAGCAGCAGTCCTCGGTAGCGAAGGGGTTAAATACATGTCCCCAATGATTCCAACTTCTACATGGCTTCTCTGCCGGATTTGAACAGGCTCTCTCCAGTCAGGAGCCAGTAATTACAGTGACCCTCTTATAGATTACACGTTGTATCTCGTCGGGTGCATGGAAAAAGGTCGTAAAGACCTTTTGCCGGGAAGCATAATCGCTGCCAAAAAAAATTTCCTGGCAAAAAGGACATATGTGTGCAACTGTTTTATTTTAATGAAATATAAAGATTTCTTCGCAAATAGTTCCCTAGTCATTTGATAATTTGTTCAAAGGTTACTTTTTGCACAACCTATGTTGATTTTGTTGTAAATTTTACTAAATAAAGAGTGTGTTGCTTAGGCCCTGTTACCAGGAACATTTTTTCTACTGTGGTCATGCTTCAAGGCAGGAGGGCATAAGCATGCTTATGACCTTTCGCCAAGCACACGACGATCTGTTCAGCTTTGTACTGTTTCCAGTAGTCAAACCTGGTTAATAAAAGGTCCTTCGGACTTGGCCAAATACATGTTCCTCGTTATGACACAAATCTTGAAGAGTGCATTTATCAGGAATGAAAACGGAAAAACAGACGATTGGGACCTAAAATTGTCCTTGTTACAAGGAAAATCTTGTATTAACATTGCTCTTATTAACGAGGTTCGGCTATACAAAAGCCTTGGGGGTTCAGCGTGGAACAGGTTACGAGGAAAATTCCAGTCACATTTCCACAAGTGCCCCCCCCGGGGTCCTCATTCTTCTCGGTGCAGGCTCAAGACCACGTACCTTTTGTCACCTGGCTGCTGACAGCTCCTATGAATAACTTTCTGCAATGCAAACAACACAGACAAAAACCTCACTAATCTTCTATCAACATGAGAACAGTTACATATCAAAGAGTTCACTGCCCTGTAGCAGGTGATACATCACATGGGTTTCACCAGTCTGCAAGTACGCGCACTGAGCGGCAAAGGAAGCAGAATTCTGAAACGAATAAAATATTCTGGGAGTCTTGAATCTACCGGTACATGTACAATAAATTCATTTTCTTCCCAGCAGTACTTCCACATTTGGAATTAGCTTTATGCAACAAGGACAGAGTGTAATCAATGACCAACAATGTAGGTATTAGCTTTATTGTACTTCCGTTCCACCTTAATCTTAACCATTACCTTCTTTAACACTTTGACATTATGTCTGATGCTGTTGCAATGCAGTCCTTTTTTTTTTGTTGGCAGCAGATATTTGACCGGTTCATGGTCCAGTTAAACTGAAAGAACAGGGACTGGACACGGGCAGTGCTTCTCAGCATGAGGACTTGGACATTTGACCCCCAAAAAATTGCATCCAATTCCTTGTTTAAAATGTAACTGACAATTCACATGCATGGGATGATGGAATTCAAACCCTGTTCAATTTCAAACTTTTTGGCTTAAAAAGAATCTAAACGTATCAGGGCCACATACATGTATAAAAAGAGTTGAGCAAACACATGCACAGTCGACTCTCGTTCATACGAGGGCCTTGGGACTTACTAAATAAGCTTGTATTTTCTGGACCTCGTCTAACGCGAAAGCTGCTGGAATAGGTCCCAGTTGGCATGGGTCTGAGTTGACTGGACACTGACCCGACATGCCAGATTCGCACAATTACATGTACAATGCGTTGGTCATGTTGATACTCCTCTACAACTAGCCTGGGCCGACTTCTACTATCAGTTTTTAGTCCGCAAGATCCATTTCTGTGGTCAGCATGTCACTACGAACATTGAACACACAGCAAAGGGGTAAATATACCCTTCGTGGGTATTCAATAATGTACATAAGTTCCCGGATGTCCGACTGCGAGAATAAGTCTGGATACAATGCCAAGCAAACTTGATCATGATGCTGATGTGCGGTTTAGTGCTAAGGACATGCAGGAAGAAATTCAACATGTTTCTAAGAGTCCAAGGTAATAAGAGTCCAAGTAGGTATACCCGCCTAAACTAAATATGCTAAAAAGAAACTATGATCAAAAAAATTTATAGGCTGGCTCTTCCAAAGTTCTGCACCTTTATTCTAGCATGTCTAAACACCTCATAAAAATATGATGATGGTGGTGATGATGATATTGCTTCCGGGGAAGCCATTCAACCCCCTCCTCCCATGCTGTAATACTCGGCACTAGTCAGCTGAGCTACCAAGCACGGCTGGTACTAGTACGCCTTACCTGTACAGTCATGCTATTTATAATTTAGGATCAAAAAGCGTCAACGCATACAAAAATTAAAAACAGCATGACTAGCGTCAACAAAGCGTCAACAACTCGAAAGTACCCTCTAAAGATTTAAAAGTGGTTTTTATCATAATTTAGAGACTCTAAGACCTGCCGCTCTGTAAGCATGCTAAGAGAAACATCAAATTTGCTTCCAGATTCATGCAGAAACCAAAACTTTTTCGCGATGTATGGAGGCTGCCATCTTTCTTCATTCTACTGTCCATGCGAAAACAAGATGGCGGCCAGTCAGGCTGCACGAGCATGCCCGAAATTGTCGCTCAAATTTTCATACTGGAGTCTAGAAATAAAATATCATTTTCAGTAACGTGATACATTGAATATGATAGTGCCTACATACATGGATATAATAATGTAGGAGCCTTACTATAAATACTAATATTGTAAACTTAACATGGATGGTAAATATAAAAAATTTGCATAAAAATGCTTGAATATTTTGTTGACGCTTGTTGACGCTAAACTAGCATGACCCTACCCGTACATGCCGTACGTATATGGCCAGGCCAGTCATACGTCATGCCAGTAGCATACATGTAGGATGTACATGTATCCTACGTCCCCAGCTAAAAAAAGCAAAGTTAGGCCTGAAGTTACAACCTGTAACGCAAGCCATTACAGGGCACTACAAAAACCAAACCGTACCCCGGTTCTTCACCCATACTGCCTCTTCTGTATGTTGTGTCTGGCTTGTTGAGAACAATATTCATATACAATAAAAATTGGAACTAAAAAACAAGATCGCGACACACACAACACACGCGCGCTGGGTGTCGATGATTCCAGGACAGGACGTAGACTTGTCCCAAGACGTTGCTATGAAGGCAGCAAATCTGTCGCGTTCACGGCCAACCGCTCTTCGCCACGCGCCCACAGTTCACAAATGTGGCCGGTTGATCGTGATAACGCCCTCTGGCGCCAGTATGTTTGTGAAAAAAGCAACCTCTTGGAACCAAGACTATGCGGCCACCATCAACACCCGTACAAAGCAGCCTTGTCAGAAATCCAGACTGTCTATCGTTTAAAAAGCACGTGAAACTACACATTGTAATTGGGAACAGACTAGTTAATACGGGTTTCCAGGAGCTGCATCAGGGGCATTGCGGAGGTTTCGAAATTTCGGCTTCATCCCTAGGTTCAGATTTGGGCACCAGTCATATCATCCCATGTGCTGAAACTCCTCTAGTTATAGCCCAATTAGGCCTACTACATAAGAAAAAAAATCAAAATTGTCCAATATAATGTGAGACCAAAGTTTGGAAGTATATTTTCACTGGTTCCAACTGGGGTTACCAGCTGCAGAGTTTCATGATTCAAGTTGAAGACGAAACTTTCCGAAATTATCTGCCAGTTAGGTTCGCGTCGCGAAATTAGGATGGTGCAATGAAAATGAAGTTATCTATCTCACGAGGGGGCACTGAAAGCATACAAACTGTCGCACTATACACATACAGTAGGTTGTCTACATTGCTGGGGGCACCCCGTACGGATCCATCCCGTGCCAAAGTAGTTACCGTACGCTGTCGCCAGTGAGGACCACCACGTGTCTCAGTTCAGTCATGGTTCAGTGTACTCAAAGTTCAACACTTTTCCCCTTCCCGCTTCAACTGATTTTTATGTTTTTATTCGCTTCAATGACTCAATTAGGCGCCACAAAATTGTCCAATAGCGTAACTATATGAAGAAGTCATGGTGAATTCTCTTCTCAAGTTGCGTTCCCGTTACTTTACTACTGAGGGTCACTGAAGTAAATTTTTGTTGGAAGTAAAATATTAAGAGCCAAGAAGCAGTGGAAAAAAATGGATTAATGTTAATGCTCAATAAAGGTAAATAAAGGTAAATGAATTGGGGCGGACACCGGGATTTTGTGATAAAATGCGAATGTTTTTTTTTTAGCTTGTGTGACGTTTTCATTTAAACTTTTTTCCTTATCTATATGATTTGTCAGTCTCAACCGCTGTGTTTGTTCACCTTTGATACAACTTCATCATTGTTTAGTTACTATATCCTTTTTTTTTTTTTTTTTTTTGGTTCACACGCTCTGTGGAACCATCAACTTTGTTTCTTATAGTCTGAGGGGCTTGTTTGGTGACTTTATCTCCGCATCTGCGAAATCAATTCCCAATTGTACGTACCGCGTGAGCTGACCGCAGAGCGCACTCTCGAGTTGTGACTGTTAAATCGCTACAGCGCCCTCCAGAAGTGCCGGGCTTTTTAGCGCGAAGATCCTACTGTACTAGGGAAACACGTCAGAATTTCTCTCAATAGTCTTTTGGTTCTTTCTGCTTGACAGCATCCGTTCTGAATCTTAATTTTTCTGATATAAATCACCTGTGAGTTTTGTTCTTGATTCAAGTCTTATTGTTATTGTAAACACCTTATATCAACATCTTTGTCATTATTTGTATGTTCTATAATATCATGTCTTGGAGGTTGCCATCTTGTTGTTGGGTATGTTCGCATACACTTATACATGTATGCGCCATGTGCAATGCTTGTTTTCATATTTAGTTTGCTTGTCTCGATGTTATTTATTTGTCAGTGCTAAGGAGAGGTGACATAGAATTTACTCCTCAGCTTTTAAGTATTAGTAACTGTTTTTGAGTTTATTTAATCTTGTTGTTTGCTTAAGGGGTCTGTTGATCATTTGCCTCCCAGGTTACACCACATTTTGATCTTCACTTAATAAGTCTATTGTTGGCAGCTTAGCTCTGCACTCTCGGAGGCTACGGTTCTGTAAGTTTTTACCGTCCAACAATATTACACATGCATTTCAGTTGATTTAGCCTGCATACTGTTAACCACTTTTCAAGATCTTGTTTGCTTAAGTTATTCTGTATAGATAATGTTGAGTTAAAATATTTTGTATTCTCCTCCACTACATGTACATGTACACTGGTTGTGTGTATACGAGCTCACGCTCCCATTTTTTCAATTGATTAATTCCTGGTCCATCCATTTCTGTCACTGTGTTACACACTGGTACTACGGTAGTCGATTTGTTCTTTGCTGGATCCTTTCGTATGTTATTTTGCATAAGCCAGTTTGTTTCCTGCATTGGTTATCAGTGTCACATTTTACCTTTGTGTCACACTGGTTTGCAGATGTTGATTTTGCACGCGGTTTTTATCCTGTTAATTTACAGTTTACCATATGCGAGATTATCTTCAAATATAAAATTTCAAGACCCGAATCTGATGTTATTAACACAGCCGCGAATCGAGGTCAGATTGTAAATCGGATTAGAAGTTCGCAATAAGGTGAAATTTGAGGCCGCAGTCAGCATTTATGAGGGTCAGCGAAATTTCAAGGCATTTGGAAGCCGTCCTTCGGCGCATCCCTGGATGGAATAGCGCCTTCCCTAGCTCTCTTGCTACCCTGTCCGATCTGCATTAGTGAGCACAAAAAATGTCGCCAAGTGCCAAAAGCCTCCAAACTGTCCAAAAGTATCATGGCGTCACCTTGCCATCACGCCTGTGGACTTTTGTAGCTGTTCTGAGATGTAGGTGTCTTCTAGTGGAAAATATGATGAGTAAAAACAATTTAATTTGAAGTAGAATGTTGAGCATGACCAGACCCTATCTTGGTGCGGTTTACTACATCATTAAATACATGGGTCCCAGTGCTGGCTAGTACCATGCTACTAGTTAGAGCGTGGTTAAAGTATGGCTGCTATCAACACCTCCCCCCGTTTTGTCGATAGGCTAATGTACATCTTATACCGAGTTAGAGTGAATGTGCCAGAGGAATAGTTACATACGTATGCAGTCCGAAAAGCTGAATCACATAATCCAGTTGAACAGGTTCCTTCAACACACTTTTCCAGCCACAAGTGAAGACTTTTCTGTTGTCCGTATGTGGTGGTTCTAGGCCTAATTGTATTTAAAATTTTTGTTGGGGGTAGGGGTTTTGGGTGGATGTGGCTCTTGGGAGCCCCGATACCTGTCCCCCCCCCACCACCACCACCAGTCCATACCAAATTAAAAGAAGACAAGCGGTTTAATGAAAATTATGTTCAATTTGTTTTCTTGCCAGCTGGCCTGTTCACCGTAAGTGGAGACGTTTGGACAGTATGGCTGATTCGTCCACCGGTTCCAGCAGTAGGCCTACTACATCTGTTGCTCCACGTGATGACACGTCTGACGTCCGGGAGAACTGTGGTGTGACCGTAATGCAAACCAGTAATGAGGTTGGCTGCAGGAAATGGGACAAGAAACACTTCTGCTGTTACTGCGATGTACCCCAGGCCAAGCTCCCCCGTCATCTCCAGTCATGTCACAAGGAAGAAAGAGAAGTCGTCGAGAACGCCGGTGAGCCCAACGCTGGTGTGCGTAAGAAACTTCTGTTGAAAATTCGCAATATAGGTAATCACAGGCACAATTGTCAGGTTCTTCGTGAAGGTCGTGGTGTGCTCATTGTCGGGTACAGGCCAAATTGCGTATGGACCATGCGTATATTGTTACGGCTATTATGTGCGTACCGATTTGTGGCGACACGTGTGCCCTTTGAAGCCAGCATCCACTCCACAGACTGACAGCACCGGTAAGAGGGCTCGTGTGGGTGGACGGGTCGCTCACAAGAGTGATTTGTTGGAACCTCCTCCTGTTGGAATGTCGTTCC